GACAGGCGCCTAAAGTACTTGAGCCATCATCTACTGCCTCCCAGAGTCATGTGCCCAGGAAGCTGGAACAGCTGGGAACTCCTGCAGGGGCTGCCTTTGTCTCAGTAGGGTTTTAGCTGCTGTGGGAAATGCCTACTCCCTGCTTGTTTTTCTTCAATGCTTTATAGTTCCCTCCAGGAAAGATGGCTGAAATTTGGAGACACAGGCTGGGAAGTGGCTAGCAGAATGGGCCTGAGGACTCCTACACATGCTTCAGTTCTGGGCGGGCATGTGGGAGAGAATGACAGAGGTGCAGGGCCTCAGGCTGGCATGCTGACATGGTGTTCTGGTGGACCATACTTGAGGACTTGTGCACATGATGGGCCCCAGCCGTTACAGTGGTATGGGCCTAGGGACCCATGTGCGTTTTTGTGTCCTAGAAAAGCAGAGGGGATCTCAGGTCAGTATGTGTGCTGGAGGAGCGGTCTGGGGGTTCCTGCATGGATTGGGGTTCTGGGTGGATGGGTAGGGCTCCAGACCAGCATACCTCCAAGCCAGGGAACCAGGTTGTGGATAGATTGCTCAGGGAAAAGTGGTGTAGGGAAGGAGAGACTACTGAAGGAGTATTTTGCAAGTGAGGAATGACATCTGGGGGAACTTCCACTGACAAGGCCACCGTACTTGCAGGTAACAAGGGTGGCTGAGACTAAGCAGCTTTGAGGAGGGATATTGGAGGACCTTTCGGGGTCAGACCAATGCAACAGCCCACATGGGAGACTTGAGCTGGATTGGTTAGCATCTATCTATCAACACCCACTGGTTCACACAAAAGGTCTGGGGCCCACCTGGCAGGGCTAGACCATAGTACCTACCAGTGAGCGTTGGAACAGGGGATGGGTCACATTAGGCTGGGCCATGACACTAATCAACATGTGAAAGAATTGGGTCTTGGGGCAGAGTCTGTGGGGGATACAACTATAGGAATGCAATAACCACTGGTTTGTTCAAGAGCTGGGAGTGATGACAAGCTGAGCTAGGCATGACCATGGAACCCACTAACACTCATGGGTACTAGGATTGGGAATAGACTGGGCTGGTTCAGGATGTAGCAGCCATGGGTGTACATGCCCAAGAACAGGGTTTGGGGCAGACCAGGACACAGTATCCACTAAAGGCAAAGATGGAGGGGTGACTATGCTGAGTAAGGGCCTACTACCTTCTGGAGCACATGAGACCAAGGTCTGGGAGTGGGCCTGATGGAGGAATTTGAGGAACTCCCCTGATGGGCTATAGCTTTTACTGGTGGGCAGGTGATTCAGGCCTGGGTATTAGGTCAGGTTGGGCAGGTCTGCTCTATTTGTCAGCAGATGTGTGGGTTGGCGTGTGTGTGAATTAGGCAGACTGTAGTGCACTGGCATGTGTAAGAGCTAGGATGGGGTGTGGGTCATGCCAGGCTAGGCTATCACACCTGCCAATTTGCTAGAAAACCAGGAATAGGGGAAGGGCAGGTCAGGTCAGGCTGCAGCATCCCATGGTATGGGCCAATCTGGGGAGAGCTATGCTGGGGTGGGTCTGAGCAACCACTGGCATGTGCAAGATCTGTAGCTGGGAGTGGAACTAGTTGGGGAGCTAAGGAGACACCACAACTGGGTTGTGGTTATCAATGGTGAGTGCAAGAGCTAGAATGGGGGTGCTGATCTGGGCTGGATATGGCTGCAGCATTCCTCGGCATGAGTGTGGACTGGGTCTGAGATATGCCAGACTGGGCTAGGCTCCAGCACTCACTGGTGCTCACAAGAGCCAGGGTGGGTGTAGGACTGCCTGGGTCAGGTTGTGGCACATGCTAAGCCACACAATAGCTGGGTCTGGGGATGGACCAGGCATGGTTGGGCTGTAGCATCAAATGGTAAGAGCCGGCATGAGTGTAGGTCAGCTGAGCAATGGTGTACCTAACTGGGACGGGAGGTGGGTTAAGTCAGGCTAGGCCAAGAACCAAGGCTGGCAGCAGCCCAGACCAGGCCAAGTTACAGTACCCACCAGCATACCTGTGGGCCAGGCAAACAGTCAGAATGATGGCAATGGCTCAGGTGCGGGGATCTGCCACGCACGAGGGACACCGTAATTGCGGGACCCTGGTGCGCATTTGGGGAGGGAACACAAGGCAGACAGCCCTCTTCTATTTTGAGTAGTATGCCCCTGCCTCAAAAATTTCAAAGCCCTGAAACTTGTCACGCTGATCTGCTCTCTGATGTGGTGGTTTTAGCTCTTCCATGTGCTCCCATTCTTTTGTCATTGAGGTGACTTAGGGGACCCGAGGGTTCCAGGAGCACATGGCTATTGTGAAGGGTGATTTAGTTGGGGCTCCTGGTGGGCTAGGGTCAGGAGCCACAGGGAGCCCTGCTTTACCTCCTGCCCCCAGAGCAGGGAGGGTGGCCAAGCTCAGGGGACAGAGGTGCCCTGTGTCGGGACGTGGGGTTCTCTGCGTGTAGCCGGGACGGGCCCCGGGTTCGGGAGCCTTGGAGGTGTCCAGGCTGCAAGTGGACAGAGGCCAGAAGCAGGTGGCGGCTGTGAGGCTCACTGGAAGTGGCTGGAACCGAACCCCGGAGGGAGTGCCGACGCCTGGTGGAGAGGTTGGGCAGGCCAGGCCACAGGGCGGGCAGCGCGAGCAGGGAGCGGTACGTGCCGAGAGGCTGGGTGGGCCAGGGCGGACGCGGTGCGTTTCTGGCCTGGGCTCGTTTGGGTCATTGGGTGGGGACCGCTGCATCCAGGTCAGTGGTGACCCAGTGCCGATGCCGGCGGGCGGCGGCCGTGGCGCGATCCGGCACGGCAGTCTATCGGCGGCTCCGGGTCCTTGGTGGCCCGCGGCTCGCTTTCCGGTCGCTCCCGGCGGAGGCTCTTGGATCCGCTCTGCGGAGCCCGGGGCCTTCTCCTTGCCTGTCCTTTGCTGCCAGCGGCCATGCCTTCCCGGGGCCGCATCTCCTTCGCCAGGGCGACCACGCTCTCAGCCCGTGCTTGGCTGTGGGGTTGGCTTGAGTGGTCGCCTGCAGGGAGCGGGAGCCGAGCAGGTGGATCGGCGCGTCGGGGCCAGGGCCTTCACACAGTGTCCTGGGGTTCCTGGCTGGAGCCGCATCTTTGCACCCGTGGGTAGTGGGTACCGCCGCTGGAGAGCAGGGCGCCTGGTGTCTGGGGCCTAGCGAGGCCGCGGGCATTTCCTGGGTCCCTAGTTGCGTGCAACCTGTCCAGGCCCCAGAGCTCATGCGGTGAGGCGTGGCACCTGCGTGCTGGCCCCGTTCATTCCTGCAAGCCGCCTGTTAGTCCCACATTTCAGTCTCTTTTCCAGGCCCATTTGTCCTTCAGGGTTTTCAGCAGTGCCCCTAAATCTGCCTTGCCTCAACTTGAGGCCCCTCCACCAAGGCGTCCTGGTCTCCCTGGGCTTCCGCTTGCTTGCCCATCCCGAACTTTCAGTCCTTTCAGACCCTGGGCCCGAGGCTACCTCTGGCTGGCTCTTCTGATTCAGTTCCCGCTATTGCAGCAGATAAGCAACAGAGATAGGCTGAGTCCTTGGTCCCTTGTGCCCTTGTGGGAGATCTGGAAGAAGCTCCTGGCTCCTAGCTTTGGACCAGCACAGCTCTGCCCACTGCAGTTGTTTGGATGGTGAAACAGATGGAAGAGCTCTCCCACTCTCTCTGTCTCTCTCCTTTCCTCTCTGTGACTGCGTTTCAAATGAGAAAATAAATAAATCTTTATCAATGTTTGAAAGAGAAAATACTAATGAAAGAATTGTGATTTTGAAATAAGAAACCATTTGACAGGGGTCCAGCTCGGTGGCTCACAGGCTAATCCTTCACCTGCAAGCTCAAGCAACCCATTTACATGGAGTCTGGTTCTTGTTCTGGCTGATCTGCTTCCATTTGCGCTCCCTGCTTATGGCCTGGAAAAGCAGAACTCAGTCTGATCCTCCTTGTTGGAGGCAGGACCTAAATGCTTGAGCTGGCGGGTTGGTGGGTGGCTCACGTTCCTGCACTCACTGGCCGCTCCGTGGGGACCGCTGGGCCCTGTTGTCCGTGGGGACCCAGGGCCGAGTCCCTTGCCCGAGGCTCTCTGAGCTGCCGCGCTCTGTATCCTCCTTGCCTGTCTTTTTGCTGCCCTTGCTGAGCGCTCCTCTGCGAGGGGTACTATGCTCTCAGCCTGCACTCCGCTGTGGGGTCAGGCTGTGTGTTCGCCAGTGGCGCCTTCCCCACGGCCGCCGGGTCCTGGTGTTCCTGATTGGAGCCGCATCTTTGCACCGGTGTGTGCCGCGGTGAGTGGGGCTCGAGCTGTCTTTGGTCTTTGGCCTTGCGGGATTGCGGGCATTCCCTTGGGTCCTGAGTGGGTGGAGAGGCCACACCCTCCCTGCTCCTACTGGATTCAGGACGCACCTTCCCCAGGGGAGCAGCCCTCACCTGCTCACCTCCTCTCCCCTTCTCCAGGCTCTCTGGCCATGGATGCCATGGCCTCTGCTGCCGCTACCTTCCACTTCGGTCCTACTCTGTCTGCACTCTTGCCTTCCTGCCTGTCACCCGGCAGGGAGCTGAGCCTTCCCTCTGGATTTGTCCCGTCTGGGTGAAGATGGGAGTCCTGGGGGTGGGCGGGTAAAACTTCTCAGTGGGCAACGGGAAAGGGAAGAGTCACCGCGGGTGGTGCAGGCGGGCGCTCCCTGCAGGGAACATTGGCTGAGAGACCAGGGCCCTCAGGGTTTCCCAGCGCGACGCGGAGCCCTTCCTCTCCTCTCACCACGGGCGGTGCGGGCGGCCTGGCTCGCAGCCCTGCTGTGCAGATCCCGCTGTCCTGGGTCACCTACAACAGCGTCCTGAGCAGGGCGTCCCGGGCCTGCGGGCAGGGCGAGCTCTGTGACACCTGCGCTCCCGTGTCCTTCCCGACTCTGTCCCAGGAAGCCCCGGCGGCGCTGGCGTCGTGGGCGCTGCTGCGACCACCTTGCTGCCGCAGGGAGTCAGGGACTCTGGTGCCCATGGTCACCACCTGGTCTGTATCTCTGTAAGTGCTTAGCCCGGTTGGTAGAGCAGGAAGGAGCGGCGCTGTCCCTCATCCCGGCCCACCTCCCAGGGAGCGCGGGGGCCGTGGTCGCCATCTCAACGGCCCCGCCTTAGCCTTGGCTGCATTTACAGCCTTGAAAGTGACCGACCTACGGTGCAGCCCGGGAGGGCGCTCTCACCCTGATTTGCTGGGTCATTGGCTTCTATCAGGAAGCCTCGTTCTGCTCTTTTTTGGGGACGTGGATCCCGGGACCAGGGTGGCTCCACTGGCCGGCGATTCCTGCCCGATGCGAGGGGAACCTTTAATGCGCGGCTTGCGCTAGGGAACCCCGGATGGGGAGCCTCTAGGTTCAGTTAGGCTCTCACGCTGTGCGAACCAGGAAGTGGACCTGGACCTGGCCGGCCTGGGCAGGTCGCTGCCTGGCAGGGGTAGGGGGTGAAGTCTCATCCCTGTCTGTCCCGCACACTCAGGCTTTGTTTTCCAAGTGCCCGGCTGCCTGGGCCCCTTGCTGCTCCTGCTCTGGCAGCTGCCATTCCTCCCTGGGTCACCTGCCACAGGAAGTCACTTCCAGAGGCCCCAGGGGAGCCCTGTGGGGAGTGGGGAGATGGGAGCCTCTCTGGGAAGTGGGTCCCCTGGCACTTCCTCCCACACAGGGAGAAGGGGATGAGGGATAAAGTCGGGGGGGGGGGGTTTGTGAAGGGAATAGAACCCATCTTTCCCCAAGGATTCAGTGTGGGCAAAGCCAGGGTGGTGCCTTGGCCCCTGGGGGTTGGGCTTAGGGGAGGTCCTGTCCATTTCCTGTGCGTTGGGTTGTCTGTGTGCCCTCCACACTCCTCCCAGCCCCCACCCCTGCCACTGGGCCTGGCTGAGCCTCCAGGTGGTCAGGGCTGCCTGAAGGAGAGGGATGGGGAGTTCCAGGGGTGTGTGCCAGTGCAGATCCAGTTTGGGGTACAGAGCAGGTGCAGATCAGGGCCTGGGTTTCTGCTGGGGTCCTTCCTCCAGCATTGTCTGCCCCCTGCACTTTCTCATCTATGACCCCAGCTTCATGGTCAGGCAGCTTCTGTCCAGGGCAGGGTAGGGCAGGTGTGGCTCCTGCCCTGTTCCTGGCCTCTCCCATGGAGGACATGTCCCTCTGGTCCCCTGTGGCAGAGTGTGCAGTGAGGGAGGGATTGCTCAGGATTCCTGCTTTAGTGCTGGTGGCCTTTACAAGTCCTCCTCTCAGGGGACAGCCCACCTAGGGTGTCCTCTGTCCCCAGGGCTGGGAATGAAAGAAATAGATCAGGAACTCAGCGTGGAGATCCCTGTCCAGGAGAGTGCCTGTGCTGAGGGTGGCCATGGTAGAGACCAGCTGAGGGCATGGAGGGCAGGCAGAGGCCGGCCAGGCCAGGGTCTCAGAACTTCCCCCCTCCAAAGTCGCCACGGGGAAGAGGATCCACTGAGGGCTGTGGCCTGTCTGGGTCAGCACTAGCATAGGGCGGGATGGCTGTGGAGCCTTAAGCCCATGGCAGCCTGTGATGCACCTGTCTGCAGGGGCAGGAGGACGCAGTGAAAAGCTGGCAAGGTGGAGCTTGGCAACCTCCTTGGCTGGGGTTGCTCAGCCAGCCCTGGGTTGCCCTGGCCTCCTGCTGAGCTGTGCTGGTGGGAGGGGCTGGCTCAGGGCTGGGGAGGGAGAGGAGGCTGAGCGCAGTATGGGACTGGGCAGCAGGGAGAGGGTGTGGCCTGGCTGGCAGGGGCAACTGGAGCCCCGTATAAGGAATCATGGACCTGGGGGGCAGGATGAAGGCCCTGTGGACATGTGGGGACTGATCTTGGATTTTGCCTATTCTGCAGCCCTCAGCTCCCTTGCTGTGTGGTGACAAGGAGTTCAGGGTTCGATGTGGATTGAGGTGCAGGACAGGAGCCAGGGCTGACAAAGGGTGATACGCTTGCTCATGGGGTTTCAGCATCTTCCCTACAAGGGCCGGATCTGAGTTTTGAGAAGCTGAAGGAGGGAGAGGTCCTGAGGGAACAACCACACCCCTGGAAAATTGTCTGGTTTTTCACCCCTGCCGTCTGTGAGCTTCTCTGTTTCAGATGACCAGCAGGTGGCGCCATAAGACCATGTCAAGAGAAATCCAGGCCGGCAGGCCATGCTGTCTACTCCTGTGTTTGTCGGTTCCACTTGAGGCAGCCTACCATCTGCAGAGAGCGGCCTGTGTTCCCCCATGCTGTGGTCTCACCTGCCACATTCTGAGCACTTCTATTTCCTTATCTCCTAATTGGAAAACAATGGGGAAGGCATTATGGCACTTTGGGTAAGGCTGTTCCCTGCAACTCCAGGATCCCATATGGGTGCCAGTTTGTGTTCTGGCTACTTCACTTACCACCAAGCTTCCTGTTACAGCAGATGATGGCCGAAGTCCTTGAGCCCTGCACCCACGTGGGAGACTCTGAAGAAATTCCTGGCTCTTGGCTTTAGAGCAGCTCAGCTCTGGTCATTGTGGCCACTTGCCGAGTGACCCAGAAGTGGAAAAATCTCTCCATCTGTCCTTTTCTGGTTGCAAATTTGCCTTTAAAAAATAAAATAGGTTGGGCCTGGCGCCTTGGCCTAGTGGCTAAAGTCCTTGCCTGAATGCACCAGGATCCCATATGGATGCTGGTTCTAATCCCGACTGCACCACTTCCCATCCAGCTCCCTGCTTGTGGCCTGGGAAAGCAGTCGAGGACGGCCCAAGGCCTTGGCACCCTGCACCCATGTGGGAGACCTAGAGGAGGTTCGGAGACCTGGCTTCGGATCGGTGCAGCACCGGCCGTTGTGGTCACTTGGGGAGTGAATCATTGGACAGAAGAGCTTCCTCTCTGTCTCTCCTCTCTGTATATCTGACTTTTTAATAAAAATAAATAAATAAATCTTTAAAAAATAAACAAATGTTTATAAAAATCTTAAAAAGGAAAAAAAAATGGTGCCAGCCTTGTGACACAGTGGGTTAAGGTTCCTGTTGTAATGTGAGCATTCCTTATAAACCAAAATAAAGAAATCAAAGCAATGGAATGGAAGGAATTGCGTTTCTCCATGGGTCAGTATGGATTAAAGAATTAATATTTGTGAGTGAGTGCAGCTGTGCCATGTGGGTTATCCACTGTGTGTGTTACAGCGTGTATGGTGGGGAAATGTACATGGTGACAGGCATCTTACTGTTGAGTCTGGGGGGCGCAGATATGAGGGGTTTGGGCAGAGGCAGGGCTCTGTTTCCATGGTGACCAGGTGAGAGAGTCTGTGTGGGACCCAGCGACAGGGCCCACAGGGTACCACAGAGCAGAAGGACTGAAACTCCTGCAGGGGCATCTGTGCATGGTTCATTCTTGAGCTGCGGGGCCAACTGCCCTGAGAGGGGCTCTTGTGTGGGGCCAGAGCTGGGGTGAGCTTTGGGGTAGGGATGGGGCCTGGGATGATGGTGCTGAAGAGCAGGGTCAGTGCTGCTGGGCTGGGTCCTCTTAGGGAGGCAGGACTGAATGAGCAGTGAGGAATGAATGAGGTGGGCATGCAGGGAGCAGCCCAGCAGCTGCCACCGCTGGTTCAGTCTGTGTGGACGGGGAGGAGTCTCTGTCCTTTCTGCTTCCTGGTCCTGACTGCTCCTTGGGACAGACGCAGCTCAGACCAGGCAGTGGTGGCAGAGAGCTCCAGAGTCCCCTGTAACATGGCCTGAGCTGGGCTGGGGGCTCTGCCTGCAGCAGGAGTGGACCAGGGCCTGCCTGTGAGGACAAGGGGCCCTAAAGGGTCTCCCTAGGTCCTCAGGCTCCAGGAAGGAGGTGGGAGGAGAGTTTGTTCAGGCACCATGCAGCATGCACCTGCTGGTGTGTGCTGTCCTATATTACTCAGTGTTGTCTCTCTCACATTGCTGCAGGAGTGTTGGAGGCTTTGATACTCTGTGTTTGATTAACCCTGAAACATCACTATGGTACTCAGTTGTCATCAGTCATAAAATTTCACATGCTTGGCATTTATCCTTTTATTTGCATCAAACTTACAAGTACTGATAGTTGAAATAGTTAATTATTTCTGAAGCTTTCTTATGAGAGGCTGGCATTGTGGTGTAACATGGAAAGCTGCTGCCAACAATGCCAGTGTCCCATGTGGCTGTTGAACAGAGTCCTGTGTGCTCCACTTCTCAGTCAGCTCCCTGCCCTTGTGCCTGGAAGAGCAGCAGAAGCTGGCCTGACTGCTGGGACCCTGCAGCCATTGGGGAGAAGGAGGAAGCTGGTGGATCCTGCTTCGGTCAGAGGTTGTGGTGGGAAGTGTGGCTTAGAAATGGGTGCATGTGATTCTCACCTTGTGAGCTGGAACATAATAAGTGAAACTGTTATTAACTCGGCCGCCTGCACCCAGGTCTCTGCCAGGGTGGCCCCTCACTGTGTAAAGCCCAGGGCTCAGGTGGCCCATGTGACCATCTGCAGGGGAGGCTGAAGCCCGGGTGGGGGTCCTATCTCCCCTCCTGCTGCCAGAGTGTGCTGTGAGGGTGGCACATGGGCATCCACCTGAGCCACATGCAAATCCCCTGCCCTATCCAGAGTGTCCCAGTCCTCCCATTGCTGACTGGATCCCCTCAGCATGTCTATGGTCCCCAGTTCTCACAGCTAGCTCTGCAGCTTTTTGGGCTGTGGGCTTGGTGCCCCCATTAGACTTGCAGGTCCAGAGCTCATTCTTGTGCCCTCTCATTACAGCTACGCACATCCTGGGTGCCCCATCTCTGCTCCTGACTGCAAATGTGCTCCATGTGGAGCCCCTTCCCTAGTGTGTCCCCCACCCAGAGATTTCCCGTCAGCCCCTGACTAGTGGTCACTGCCAGCCCTGCAGCGTCACTCACTTCTCAATGACATCGCAGCTCCCACCACTCCTGCACTGTACACTTGGGTAGCCCCTCCTGGGATCCACCCTCCCAGTTGCCCTTCTCCCACTGTGTGCCATCCCCACACCGGCACGGCCTGAAGCCCTGGGTGTCCTCCTCACCTCCTCCTCTTTCCCTGGATGCAGTCCACAGGAAGTGCTGTGCATCCATCTGCAGAAGGATCCAGACCCTCATCTCCCACTCTGCCCATGCCTACCACAGTGACCACAGTGACTGGCATCTCTGCCTGGACACAGCAGGAGCCCCTAGAGCTTTGTCTCCAGCCTCTCAGTCTCTCAGCCCTGTCCTCACGCAGCAGCCAGGGTGGTCCCTGGACAGGAGAAGGTGCACATGTCCCTTCTCTGCTCAGAGCTGTCTCATTGGGCCTGACGCAATGACCTAGCGGCTGAAGTACCCATGTGGGAAATCAGAAAAAAGTTCCTGACTACTGGCTTTGGACCATTTGAGAAGTGAGCCAGCAGATGGAAGATCTCTCTCTCTCTTTCTCTTCTCTATAACTCTGCCTTTTCAAATGAGAAAATAAATAAATCTTTTAAAATATTTTTGAAAGAAAAATACTGGGCTCGGCACAGTAGCCTCATGGCTAAAATTCTTGCCTTGAGCACCTGGGATCCCATAGGGCAACAGTTCTAATCCCGGTGGCCCTGCCCACCATCTAGTTCCCTGCTTGTGGCCTGGGAAAGCAGTAGAGGATGTCCCAAAGCCTTGGGACCTTGCACCCGCATGGGAGACCTGGAGGAAGTTTCTGGCTCCTGGCTTCTGATCTGTGGGCAGCTCCAGCTGTTTTGATTACTTGGGGAGTGAATCATCGGACAGAAGATTTTCCTCTCTGTATATCTGTCTTCACAATAAAAATAAATCAATATTTTTTTTTAAAAAAAGAAAAGCTGACTTGTGGCTCCCACCTCACTCAGAGCCAGGGCTGAGCCTTCCAGTGTGCACACGGCCTGCTGCATGGTGGTGCCCCGACCCAGCCTTCCTGATGGCTCCCTGCTCCGTGTGCAGACTTGCTCTTGTCTAGGGCATTTGCACTGGCCGTCACCTGCCTGCACAGCATCTCCCCAGACACCTTTGCTGGTGACTCATTGTGTCCTTCCAACCCTCCTCAGGGTCACCTCCTCAGGGCAGTGCACACTTACCTTCAATGATGGCGAAACATCAGCTGCCATGGCCCTCACATCACTCTGGACCACCGTGCCCAGCACTAGGTCTGGAGTATGGCAGAGTCAGCTGAGTGATGAGTGTGCTGCACGGCCCCTTCCAGACCCCGTGGCTTCATTAGTGGAGCTGAGACAGAGGCCACCTGCGGCCTATGCAGAGAGGCATCCTCTCCCTGGTGTCCACGTGGCCTGGGCTTTCTCACAGTGCCCTCTGCCCTCCCCTCCTTCCTCCCTCCCTCCCAGACTGCCTCCTGCACACAGAGGTGAAGGCCACCAGAGCTCATAGAGGAAGAGCAAGTGCAGTCAGCCAGCGACACTAAGGAACAAATGAATACACGGAGAACAGCAGCCAAAGGCTGAACCCAAACCTGAGCTTTTATAGTCCAGGCCTCATGCAGCCTCCATTTCCTCAGGTCCACCAGACAGGGCAGCCTGGCCCTGCCTAGTCCTGTGTGGCCAGGTGTTGATGGACACATCACACTGGAGAGATACGGACACTGGGACAGCTGAGCCGGGTCAGCAGTCACCACGGGAAAGTGACGGATGAAGCACTGCCTGGGCACAGCCTCGTCCTCACCCAGAGCCTCCCAGCCTCTCCTGTCCCCACTGGCAAAAGACTCAGCAGAGTAAATACATGAATTCTGGAAGGTTCTAGTTAGTGCTTTTTATTTTCTCTGAAATTTTTGGGATTTTCTGTTTTAGATTTCTCATGAATGCCTCACGATAAGAGTTGGAAAATATGAATTACTGTTCAGATTTGCACAGGGAAGGAGGAAGCTGCAGCAGATGCACCTGACTTGAGACAGGGACGGAGGGGCCCACGCTGGGCTGGGAGGGCCAGGCTCCCACCTCACACTGTGCCCACAGGAACACTCTTAGCTGCCTGTGCAGGAAGAGAGGGCAGGGCTTTTTGAAGACACCAAAATAAAGACTTAAGCAATTCTGATACACTTCAGATGGAAACAAGGCAATTGTCTCAAGCAGAAACAACTAGCTAACAATTTCACATCACTTGCTCACGCGAACATTAACAACCAGCACACATGAATGTCCAAATACAAGGAATCTCCCAGCCTCATTGGATCCTCTCATCTCTGCCACCTCTCCCCTCCAGGTCCTTCCAGGTCTCACCTTTCAGGCTGTGAGAGAGGAATCAGAGCTCCTGGCACTGTCCTGACCTGGGAGAACCAATCAGGACTTGGTGAGAGCAGCAGGGGTGTGGTTGAGGGAGGAGCTACAGGGTGGGCAGGGCAGCTTCTCCATGGGCATCTGGCCAAGGCAAGGCTCTTGGGGCTCCTCCACCCGCAAACACACCCCAGTGCTTACCTGCAGCCTTAGTGTAGCACCCTCCTTTCCCACCTGTGAGAGAATAGAGCTGGTGAGATGTAGGAAGAAGGCAGGGCCAGAGGACCTGCCTAGAGGAAGCCCAGAGGTACACTGGCTCATCTCAGAGAAGATTCCAGAACCACAGCTGCGGACCCAGGAAAGGGTCAGGAGGTGCCTCTCCTGGAGGTGTGTCCTCAGCTGGGACCTCCCCCTGACCTGGGGCTGTTGGTACCCAGGTCCCTGTGAGTAAAGTCATCCCTGTGGAGTTTCATCCTCCACCTTCACTCGTTGTTCACACCAGAGCTAATGTGAGCACTTGTGGCTCAGCTAGGGGTGCAGGTGTGTGTGCACAGTGTTTCCCAGAATTGGGCAGGGTGACCTCCCTGGGACAGGAATCTCAGACCCAGCCCTCACCCTGCTCTACCTGAGTGCTTCCTCCTCATCATCACCACAACAGTGACCACAACTCCAATGAGCACAGCTGCCAGGAGGACCAGGCCAGCGATGACTCCCCACATGGGCACAGTTTGCTGAGGAGGCTCTGAGAGGGGAAGGGACAATAAGGGGCTCTGACCCCAGGGCTCAGCCCCACCCCTGCTGAAGGCTCTGCCAGTTTCTGTCCTTCTTACCCCATCTCACGGTGAGGGGCTCAGGCAGCCCCTCATGCTCCACGTGGCATGTGTATCTCTGCTCCTCTCCAGAAGGCACCAGCACAGCTGCCCACTTCTGGAAGGTTCCATCGCCTGAAGGCCTGGTCTCTATCAGCTCTGTGTCTTGGGTCAGGTCCTCCCCATCGCGCTGCCAGGTGAGTGTGATGTCCTTGGGGTAGAAGCCGAGGGCCCAGCACCTCAGGGTGGCCTTCTGGTCAGAGACTGGGTGGTGAGTCACATGTGCTGTGGGTGGGTCTGAGGAAAAATTTGAGAAATTCAGGCCTATGAGACATCAAAGTTACACTCAGTGACCATCCTGATTGTAGACAGGAAGACTGGGGTGGGTTTGGAGTGTAAAACTCAGACCTAGCCTGGATAAAGACAATGAGGTAATCTAGTGTTTGGAAAGTTCTAGAATCAGGCATGGTTCAGGCTAGGAGGCTCCAGATCTCTGTGGGGAGAAAATGGATATGGCCTTTTCCCAAGTGGAGGCTGAGAAACCCAGAAACCCTGGGGTGAAACTTCCAGTATTTTAGCTTGAGGCTGAAGACAGACCCTGGTTGTGAGTTCCTGTCTCACTGGACACTGCTTGAGTCCAGGGAGGTTCTTTCTGGAATCTTCTAAGTACCCTCCCCCAAGGCTGGTCTCTCATCTCCTGAGGGAAGAGCGAGTCTCTGGCTTTGGACCCAAAGCAGGGGAGGAGGTCCCCCGCCTTGAGAAGAGACAGACCCTGGCCTGGGTCCCACTTTTCTCCCCTCCTCCACAGCTCCAGGGGAGGTGAGCCAGGGCAATCCCGACCAGCCCCGTGTACCTGCGCGCTGCAGCGTCTCCTGACCCATCTCCAGGTATCTGCGCAGCCACCCCACGCACTCCAGCTCCAGGTAGGCCCTGTGGCGGTCAGCCAGATCCTCAGCCTCCCACTTGCGCTTGCTGATCTGAGCCGCCATGTTGGCCGCGGTCCAGGAGTGCTGGTCCTCATTCAGGACGATGTAGTCCGTGCCGTCATAGGCGAACTGCCTGTATCCGTGGAGGAGGCGCCCGTCCTCCCCGACCTCGCAGCCGTACATGTACTGGATGGTGTGAGAGCCTGTCCCCGCCCGCGGTCAGCCTTGGCCACGCAGCTCCGCCCCCGCCCTCACCGAAAATAAAAGCCGAAAACAAAAGCGAAACAAAAAGCGAAACCCGGATGCTCCCGCCGAGGGTCTCCGCGGGGCGCGCAGTCTCGGGGTGGGGGACCTCGGCCCCGGGACCCGGAGCGCCCTGGGCGCACGTGGGGAGGGGTCGGGTCACTCACCGGCTTCGCTCTGGTTGTAGTAGCCGCGCAAGATGTTCAGATTCATGCGGTTAATTAGTGCGTTGTTCTTGGCGTTCCGAGTGTTCCAGTCCCAGTACTCCTGCTCCACCTGCTGCATCCACGGCGCCCGCGGCTCCATCATCGGGTTCTCGGCGTCGCTGTCGAAGCGCACGAACTGCGTGTCGTCCACGTAGCCGACTTCGATGAAGCGGGGCTCCCCGAGTTCGGGCCGGGACACGCCGGTGTCGAAATACCTCAGGGAGTGGGAGCCTGGGAGAGAGAGGGGCTGAGATCGAACCTGTCTCCCACCCTGAGCGGAACGCTGGGTGTGAGTAGTCTAGTGCTGGCGGGGAGTTAGGAGCCCGCGGATTGGGAGACGGGGAAAGGGACGGCGGGGAAGGGTCTGGGTGAGAGGAGGGCGGGACGGACCGAGGTGGGGACGTCCCTGCCGACACAGGGGCGGCTCCCCGGGGTCCTGTGTCCCCTCCACGCGCTCCCCTCGCTCCTGCCCCGCAGAGCCCGTCTCCCTCCCGACCCGCACTCACCCGCCCGGGTCTCGGTCAGGGCCAGGGCCCCCGCGAGCAGCAGGAGGAGGGTCCGGGGCGACATTGACTGCCTCCTCTTGTCTGTGGAGACTTTGACCCAGAGACTAAGTGTCGACAGAATAACCAGGATCTGGTAGCACAGAAAGGCTCCTCCGGAAAAGGCGTGTCCAGAGGCAGTGTTAGCTCAACCTAGTCAGGAGTGTCCAGGTAGAAGCAGCTTACTCGGATTGGGAGAGGGAAAGTGCGGTGGGGGACTCACCCACCACCTTGGCTTCCCTGGACCAGACCTGCCCTGGCACTGAGACCCTGAGGGCCAGGCGGTGAGCTGTGCCCTGACCCTTTTTCCCAGGCCGGTGTGATGTCCTCCTGAGGCCAGGCCCCGGGATAGCTGAGGGATCCTGAGAAATCCAACCAGGCCCCCCCTACTTTTCCTTTCCTATTTTTATGGTTAGTTATACCAACGTATAGCCAATCTCTGGAAAATGTTCAACATCATCAGCCAGCAGGAAAAGGCAAACCAACCCCCCAAGGAGGTGCTACAGACAGAATGGGTGATGCAGGTAAATCTGCAGAGCCTGGTCCTTCCAAGGCTCCCACACAGGACAGTCTAGCCCGGAGTAACCTCAGGGCCAACTGATAGAGACTTTAATTTCATTTTTTGTTTTGTTTTGTTTTGTTTGTTTAGATTTAACTTTTATTTTCATTGGAAAGGCAGATATACAGAGAGAAAAGATACTGAGAGAAAGATCTTCGGTCTGCTGATGCACTCTTCAGGGTGCCACAACTGCCAGAGCTGAACTGAACTGAATCCAGGAGCCAGGAGTTTCTTCTGGGTCTCCCACATGAGTGCAGGGTCTCAAGACTTTAGGCTGTCGTTGACTACTTTCCCAGGCCACAAGCAGGGAGCTGGAACAGAAATGGAGCAGCCTGGATATGCACAGGCACCCATATGTAATCCCAGTGCATGCAAGGCAAGGATTTAGCCATTAAGCTGTTGGGATTTTAAAAATCCCTTCCCAGTGGCATTGAGATCATCAGTTGATTGAACACAGGGATGTGTGCACCCGCCCAGGGGCCGCTATAGGATCAGGCTGCCTGGCTTGACTCTTCTTTCAGTGCTTAACTGCATCTGGGTTGGAAATGGAAGGTCACATGATTGCTTGTTAACAATGATGTGATGCGCCCTGATAAACCATGGCCATTCTTGTATTTTAAAGTCAAATCATGCTATCATCTTTTGATTATAGAAAATTAAATGGCAGTAATTCATCCTCTCTGGAAGTTGTATAATAAATTTACCAGAATTTAGCATTTGGAAATAACCAAATATAGGTGTATTATATTCCACTGTTTCATATAAAAATGTTCATGTGTTTATTTTCATGTACTTGACATGAAGAGTGACAGGGGGAGTGAGAGCAGAGAGCTGTCCTCCTTCTGCTGTTCCTCTCCCAGATGCCACAGCAGCTGGAGCTGGGCCAGGCAGGAGTCAGGTGCCCAGAACACGGCCCAGGCCTCCCTGGTGGGGTGCAGGGGTCCAGGCCACCAAGCCTTCCTCTTCCCAGGAGGCACCAGCAGGAAGCTGGGTCCCAAGTGGAGCAGCCAGGAGGCAGATGGGGCTCTGTGGTGGGATGGGGAATGCCAAAGGGAGCATCCCCCACTTCCACTGCCTGCCTGCCCCAGGAGAGAGAGATTGAGAGAGAGAGAGAGAGAGAAACAGAAAGAATCCATGCTAGGGCAATTTCACTTTCAGAACTGGGCCATTAAGTCCATTGCAGATATAGCAGGGAGAAATTAAACTCCATCTTCAAAAGTGAGGAACAAAAATTGAGGAAAACTCAAAATTATAGTCAAATACTATTTTTAATTATGTAAGCCAAGTTTTTAAAAAAGATTTATTTATTTTTAATTTGAAGGGAGATTTACTGAGAGACAGAAAGATTGTCCAACAAATGGTTTACACCATAAATGGCTATAACAGATGGAGCAGAGCCCATCTGAGTGGAGCCAGGAAATATTTTCGGATTGCCCGTGTGTGTAGATGGAGCCTGGCAACTGCGATCATTTTGAGAGTGAACCAGCAGGAGGAAGATTTCTGTTTTTCCTCTGTCACTCTCATTAAAATTAAATTTGTAAATGTCTCAGAGTCAGTGCTTTGGCACAGCAGGCATCCCATATGGGCATAAGTTAGAGCTTTGGATGCTCCACTTTTGATCCACGCCCTGCTATTGCAGCTAATAAAGCAGCAGAAGACAATTCAAGTTCTTACTCACTTGTACCCATGTGGGATCTCTGGAAGAAGTTCCAGACTCCTGAGGCTTTGGGTCAGCCTGTAACAGCCATTTGAGAAGTGAACCAGCAGATGGAAGATAGCTCTCTCTCTCTGTCTTCTCTGTAATTCTGCCTTTCAAATGAGAAAATAAATAAATCTTTTACATTTTTTGAAAGACAAAATACTGGGCCCAGCATGGTAGCCTAGCAGCTAAAGTCCTCGCCTTGAACACACCAGTATCCCATATGGGCGCTGGTTCTAATCCTGGTGGTCCCACTTCCCAATGAGTTCCCTGTTTGTGGCCTGGGAAAGCAGACAAGGACAGCTCAAAGCCTTGGGACCCTGCACCTGCGTGGGAGACCCAAAAAGCAGCTGCTGGCTCCTGGCTTCAGATTTGCTCATCTCCAGCTGTTGCGGCTGCCTGGGGAGTGATTTAACGCACAAAACATTTTCCTCTCTGTATATCTAAATTTCTAATGAAAAATAAAATACATCTTTAAAAAAGGAAAAATACTAAGGAAGGAGTTGTGATTTCAAAATAATGCACCATTTGACATGGGACTGGCGTGGCTGCTCCACAGACTAATCCTCTTCCTGCAAGTTCAGGCATATACATGGATGCCAGTTCATATCCTGGCTGATCCGATTCAGCTCTCTGCTTATGGCCTGGGAAAACAGCTGCAACTCAATCTGATTTCCTTGTGGGAGACAGGGGTCCAAGTCCCTGGGTCACTGTCTACTGCCTCTCAGAGTGCAGGTGCCCAGGAAGCTGGAGCAGCTGGGGACTCCTGCAGGGGCAGTGGCTCTCTCAGCAGCTTTTAGCTGCTGTGGAAATGCCCACCCCCTGCTTGCTTTCCTGTAATGCTCTACATTTTCCTTTAGGAGTGATGGTTACAAGTTGGAGACTAAGTTGTAACTATAATGAGACACACAGTAGCTAGGTAAGACAGATCCTAGACCAGAGACCACAGCGCCCCCACCAGCATGCTGACAAAGTAGCACCTCCCTTTGCTGTCTTTGGGCTGGGCTGTTGGTACAGCAGGTTAGGGACACCCCCATCCCATAGCTAGTCCCAGCTTCCTGTTTGTGTGCACTTTGGGACGCAGCAGGTGAAGGCTCAAGGACTTGGGCCCCTGACACCCACACAGGAGACCCCAGGGAGTTCCTGGCTCCTGGTTTTGGTGGGTCCCAGTCCCAGCCATAGCGGGCATTTGGAAAGTGAGTCATAGGTTAGTGACTTTGTGTCTTGCATTCAAATAAAAGCAAATAACTGTCCTTTCGCTAGGAAGTTTAACTGTCCATGTTGCCAATTTACTTAGTGAAAGATTATCTTCGAGAAGAATGTTTGTCTAATCAGACTGCCTTTTGTCAGAAACTGACCCTCACAGCTCGGTGTGTGCACCTGCGTCAACACTGAGCACGGGGGAGGGTGATGTGTAAATGTGGACTCCAGGCCAGGAACACAGACTTTGGTTTGATTGCCTTTCAAGCCTGGGCCCTCACTGGGCTCCTCTAGTGGAGCTCCTGTCTACTGTGTTTGGCTGAGAGGAGCAGGGGATGGGGCAGCAGTGGGCCTGGAGAAGCGCTATGCCTCTGGTCTTCCAGCCTCCTGGGGCTGTTCTACGATGAGGAGTCCTTGCTGAAGAGCCTGGGCTCCCTCCACTGGGCCTCTGAGGCCACCTGGGCCTCCCCAGTCCCTGCCCCAGACAGGTGCTCTGAGCTGAGTGTGTGTCACCACACCTTTGCCCTTCCCCCATGATCACTGCAGTGAGCCTGAGTGTCCATCATCAGGGAGTCCCCAGACCCTGAGCCAAGCCAGAGTTGAGGTATCAGAGTGAAGGAAAATGCTCTGGTGCAGCGATCCAATCCTGCCACTCACT